AGTTGATTTAAAGGTTGATTTAAATGTTGATTTAAATGTTGATGCAAATGTTGATTTAAAGGTAGATGCAAACATTGATGCAAATGTTGATGTAAATGTTGATGCAAATGTTGATGTAAATGTTGATTTAAAGGTAGATGCAAACATTGATGCAAATGTTGATGCAAATAATGTTGATGTAAATGTTGATTTAAAGGTAGATGCAAACATTGATGCAAATGTTGATGTAAATGTTGATGCAAATGTTGATGTAAATGTTGATTTAAAGGTAGATGCAAACATTGATGCAAATGTTGATGCAAATATTGTTGATGCAAATATTGATTTAAAGGCAGATGCAAACATTGATGCAAATGTTGATGTAAATGTTGAAGCAAATAATGTTGACACAAACGTTGATGTAAAGGTTGAGGCAAATGCAAACATTGATTCAAATAATGTTGGTGCAAATATTGAAGTAAAAGTTGAAGAATATGTTGATGTGAATGTGAGTTGATGTACCAACTGGATTACCCTACTGATATATGCACCTTTAAAAAAAATTGTACTACTTCATGAGCGAATCATCTAACATAAATGTCTTCAATAACAAAATTTTTAATGCTGCTGCTGTGGCAGTTTGTTAATATACTGGAATATTTTCAATATTTCTCATATTGAAAATGCATTATACTTCACAGAGAAAATGGAATGACCTAAAACATTGTATAAATGCATTATGAATGGCTCGAAAGTCTGATGAAAAGGCAGGTGTCATCGCTAGCTAGTAGCGATGAATGAACGAAGGTTGTTAAAAACCACTTCTTTACAAAAGACATTTTTACATTAAGAACCCAGACAAACCACTCAACGTTTTACATGAATTTACACACAAGTTATTCAAGTAATGTACTTTTTAATTATTAGTGGGATTTCAACTGTGAGCAAAAATACAATATTTGATTTTTGATGAAATCAGTTTTAAGTAGTTTTGAAGATTGACATACTTGTACTGCAACTGCAGTGCCATTATTGCCATTAAAATACAGATTTCTATTCAAAGATTCACAGCTTAAAGAATGTAAGGCGGT